AGAAAAATATTGAAATTTATTCTCAGCCACATTCAGCCATCCCAGTGTGTTCACCATGGTGCTACTTTGACCTTCACTGTCATGGACCATGATCTGCTGTTCCAAAATGACTTTGGTGGTGAAGCCTTTCTCTCATTGTCTGATGTACATGGGGTAGGAGGAGAGGAAATTTCTGGTTATGATGTGTTGAGTATCATTTCTCTGCCTCTTATCCACCCAAAAGCTTCAGGTAATTGTTTTTTAAAAATCTATGTCTCAAATTGTTTGAATTTTGATAATTTAATATAACTGTATTTTTTGTTTAAAAATAAAAGAAATTCATTTAAAATTTTGAAAAATTAGTTATGTTAAAAAGTGCCAACTGTGAGGATGAACTTAAAATAAGAAAGCATAATATCATTATGAATAAGAAAAATAGTAAATTAACTTTTTTTTAAATAAATGAAACTTTGTTCGGCTCAAGTCAGTCTCAAGAAATTACTATATAGTTTTAATATAATTTCTGTATATAGTTTTTAGTACAAAGAAGTATTCAAGTAAATGTTGTCTTCTTTGCCTTGATTTGGAAAAGGAATATATTTATGTTACTTCATACATTGTTAAAATCCTGCTATTGTTCCTTTGAAAATTAATAACATATATTTTCCTAGACCATGGTGCCTTGAATGTTCTGAGAAGAAGAACTTGGGATGGCACAGCACAAGAGTTCATAAAAAAGCGCAGCGTGATTGAACAACAAGCCAAATAAACTGAACTTTTTACCCTGTAGAACATTGAAACAAAAATGCTCTGAGACCTGGATGATGCAAAGTTCAGTTTATGTACCAAGGGATCCCAAGTACAGCAATCACAGCCCTTTCTGTAAACAGCTGTTTAATAAGCAGTTAAATACATACAATTTTCAGAATCTCTAGAAACTAATGAAACATTTTATTTTAAAAATGAGACATTTCTATTTGGTAGCCATTACATTCAGCTGTAAATAGAGAGTTTGAAATAATGTGGGTTACTAGTTGTGTTGGATTTAATTTTTTTTTAATTTTCAACTGTTAACAAACAGCATTGAAGAGTGTAAATTGAGATTTCCCAGCTACTCCTATTTAATATTTGGAATTTTATTCTTAAAAGCAATTGATTCATTGGCTGCATTTGTTATGTCTCACAATGTCACTGATTAATAAGGATCTAATCTCTTATTGATCCCTCAGATATTGCTCACAAAACACTTTGTAATGATTAAACATGTATTTATATGATATGACTCATTGTCAAAGCCATCATATGCCATATCAGCTTCTTATTTATGTATCCAAACAGTCTTTTAACACCACTAAAACATCTATCATGTTGATATAATTAATATTTAAATAAAATTTCCCTATGAAACCCCACCTGCATTTTAAAATTTCCAACACTTTTAAGTGTTTATATTTTATGTTACAAATATGTGAACCAGAAAAGATTTTATTTGGTTGTAAGCTATGATGATGCCCACAAGTCATGAGCAGCTCAACTTGCAACACTAGTGAGCTGATGAAATATGTAATTCATCTAACAGGAGATTTTGGCATGATTTGTTTTGGTTTTTTTAAAGAAATACTGCTGTGTCATTATGATTAAATTAACCGTCATTCACAACTCTTATTTTGTAGGTCTGAAAATTCTCAGCAAATTTTAAAGTAAAGACCATATAAAGCAAGATTTCTCTATTTTACTATAAAAAAATATTTTTTATTTGTACTTTAAGTTCTGTTATTAACATTTTTAAATACATGCAGAATAAATATATTGTGACTTTTTAAAAATCTTATTTTTTTTATGACTAGAATTTCAATACCTGTAAAATGAATTCTTGGAATTTTTTAAATAACTTTTTTTAAAAGCTTACGTTGTCTAAGATACAATGGATGGAGCATTTTTAAATAAAATACATCATAACTATTTTTAAAAGCTTAATTATTTATTTTTTAGGAGACAACAAGATTTAATCACCTATTTGAATTCAACTTTGATATAAAATAAGACATTAATTGCAATGCATAATTTTATTCTTTAATCTTTGATAAAAATTTCTTCAATATTTTTTTATGTATCTTGATTTCTTCACTAAATGATTTCATGAATAGAAGCCTACTGTACCATTAATTGAAAATAATCTTGATAAATTTCACTTTTTATAAGATTACAATAGTTATCTTCAGATTTGTTACAGAAGTGAGTAAAATATTCTATGCTTCACAACTTATTTATTAATTTTTTAAATTTCGTTTTTGGTATTTTTCAATTTGTATGCTCAGTACAAAATTTGGACATAGTTTTCCCTGGCTATTTAAAAGATTTAAAAATGCACACATTCAAATGGTGGTTGAATGTTAAAAAAAAACCACACAAAACTTGTATTTTTATAATTTTATCTTTCATTTAATTTTCTCATGGATAGGGAGGAACAAGTATTATTTTATAATCTACATTATAAAAATGTCAGATGATTATACACTTTTTAAGATAAAAGATAAGAAGCTTTTTTTGATCCAAATAAATCGAAATTTGTTTGATTGTTTTGCAAGTATTGTTTTCAGTTTTAAAAGTCTTTGAGTTTTGTTGTTCCCCAAAATGGGTCCACAACAAAGCGTTTGGTGAATAAATGTGTGGTCAGAATAGCTGTTAGAGTGTTGAGTGTACATTGACATTTGAAACTGAGTCTGGCTTTTTGTTTTGTTCGAATGGCTTTTATGCATAATCATAATGTCTTTGGTTTGTTGTCTTGATTCCACCATCGTACAAGATGGTGGATAAAATGGCGCATCCGATGATTCAAAGATGACAGATGAAAATTTGGTTGAAGCCTACGATGTACAAAAATTCCACTTAACCAATGTTACTCATGATAAAACATAAGATTGGTTTGTTGTTTTGATTCCACCAAAAGCACATTTTACATACTTACCACTGCTTGATTCAAAAGAAAGCATTAAAAAAAAAAAACTTCAAAACTATTACAGAAGCTAAAAAAAAAACATGACATATGCAATCAAGTTGCACACTGAGCGGCGCCCCGGAGGTAATATTAATGAACACCATTCCTTTAGGAAAAGATTACTAGTTCACATTTTTTAAAGATAATGAAAAGCTTTGACTCAGCATTTCTCAATGCTAAAATGTTATAAGCCATTATGGAGAGTATGCTAGTTGACATTGATCATTTTAATGACTGTGATTTATTTTTCATTCTCTTTGTGGAAAGCTGAGAGTGGTGTAAATAAGGAAATTGCCACCAATACTAAGTGCACATTTGAATGTTTAATGTTCAAGGTCTTACCCTCAATTATGTGAAATATTATTTAATTTAAATATATAAAAATGTTTGTTTTTTTCTTAAAGTCTGGATGAAAGAAACTGCAAATAAAGATTTTGTAATTTGCCAGGAAAAGAAAATCAAAGCACCCATCTTTTTTTTTTTGAATCCATGCTTTTTGTATTGGTTTATGTAAAAAAAAAAGGGGGGGGGGTGTAAAAAGTGGGTGGGAGACTTAAAGATCTACATTTGTTTTCTTAATCAAAAATTTCTTGCTAGTTAAAGTATTTTAATTAAAACTCTGGATCCCATTTTTCTTTTAGTAAAAAATAAATAATCAAAATATAGATATTTTGTCTTTTTGCACCCATCTTTTTTTTTTTGAATCCATGCTTTTTGTATTGGTTTATGTAAAAAAAAAAGGGGGGGGGTGTAAAAAGTGGGTGGGAGACTTAAAGATCTACATTTGTTCTCTTAATCAACAATTTCTTGCTAGTTAAAGTATTTTAATTAAAACTCTGGATCCCATTTTTCTTTTAGTAAAAAATAAATCATCAAAATATAGATATTTTGTCTGTTGAGTCCTTTATATGCTTTCACAGCTCTTTACATTAATGTAAAAATATATATTATACATAACTCAATGTGAGTTGTAAATGTGAACTTGTTGTACAAGCACTTGTAATTTTAACAAACACATTATTTTACTTGTATTCCAAATTTGAAATAAATGTTGTATTCAACAATTGTGGCCAAAGTTAAGTTTTGTTTTTTTTTAAGTGCATGTTTTAAGAGATTGTCTCTCTTATCCTATTTTATTAAAAAAATACATGATCAGACACATCTGTATTTATGTTTGGGTTGTCCAGATACAGACACATATTTATTTATTTTTGGTTTGTCCAGATAAAGACATATATGTATTTTTGTTCCGGTTGTTTTAGTAATTTTCCTAACATTTTAATTAATCCTTTTAGCAGACACCTTGCATATTTATATCTCCATAATTTAAATCTTAAGCATATAATTTAAAGAATATTTAACTTTTGTAATGAAAATTAAAGTTGACAAATTTTACTGTAGGCCAAAGACAGGTTTAAATCCAAAGTATAATTGTGTCTTTGGGTAAAAATGATTAAATTGTTAAATAACAAAAAGAATTAAAAAATATCATGAGCAGAGTCAATTGAAGATGACATTTTTATTAATTATTAATGACTCGAGGAAAAAAATATCTAGGAAAATATACATACGCCTCTTTCTTTTTCAGTGAACAAGTAACAATTGGAATGATGAAGAGAAAACGATTAATAACATACTTAAGAAAGAAATATGGTGAATAACAAAATCATTCAAGAATGATCTGCAAAGTTGCTGATCAAAACACTTTGTAAAACCTGACCAATCAAAGAAATAACTGAGGAGAAATACAATTAATTTGTCTAATTACAAAGGCAGATAGAAAAAATCTACCAAAAAAGGCCTTTTTTTTTAACCAATAGAAAAAGAGAGGTGGGGTCATATATTTTTCTTGAATGAAAGAAAATATTAGTACATTTACCATCTTACATGTGAGAGGAGGTAGTGCAAGATGATGGCTACAAAAAAGTTAGAAGCTAGCATATCTGCCAAATGTGGCTCATTGACAATCCTTATAGTTGAAAACTGTACTGAAACAAGTTTTGGTTACTATTTAATTACCGGGGGGGGAAGAACTTCAGTATAGCTTGTAAATGTCACAATCAAAACAAAATAAACTTCAAAGAGATGACTCCACCTGTTTATTATATTCTAAAAAAAAAATTTTTTGTTTCTTTAGAGCAAAAAGGAGATGTTACATTATCATTTTGATCTGCAATTATATGTCAGTCTTATATGTCCTATTTCTTGTCTAAAACTTAAAAATAAAATATTAATTATTAATATAAATCCTTTTATAAAAATGTGAAACGCCACTTTGAAGTTTAAAACTATAGTTATTCAGATGCTTACTTTTTGTTTTCAAAAGTCAATATCAGTACTTCAAATAAGCAGAGTTTAGATTAATAAACCAGAGTTAGATAAAATGACAATGTCAAATTAATTTTAAAAAGCTGACTCTTAAAATAACATGGTACATATTAAACACAACACCTAATCAACCTACCAAGATAAACATGTTAAAAATCAGACCAACAAATAACATATAATTAGGAAGAATTTCTTGAAATAAAAAATTAATCACTGTTATTATTAATACCAAATAAACTGGGTGATTACTTGAGCAGTTTTCATACTGGGTCAAAAGTAGTTATACAGTTTGTCAAAAAATATTGGTAGAGATTAAAATTTGTAAAGATAGTCATCATATCATTAGCTAGGAGCTTAGGAGTATCTCAAACATTAGAATGAAAATGTGATCATAAGCCACATAAAGTTTACGAACCACTGAATTTCTTTTCTTTAAAATCATTATTCCCTAATCTCTTCCTGGCAATAGTGAATCTGTTTAGAATTTTTTTTTTTTAAAACAGGTTATTTTTGTTCAGTGAATTTTAAAGAATTTTATTCTTCAAAAAATGTTCAACTGCTGTAGACTATTTTAAATATGTATTCCAGAAGCTGACAGATATATTGCTAATTTTTTTACGAAATGATACTTCACTGTAACAATTTATTTTAACAATTATTATATTTATTTTTTTACGGGAAATAAATTTATCTCTATGGTTAAAGGATGCAACACTACAGTTTTTACCATTGGCCTCTCTTTCCTTTTTTTTTTTTTTTTTTAAATTGAAAGTAACTAAAATAATTTATAACAGTGTGCTAGCTGCCTAAAAATTATGTGATTTGCATTTGTGTAAAATAATCTTTGAGAATTAAAAACAACATAAGAACATATATTTATGCGAGTCTTTGCTTTTTTTTTTTCATTTTTTTTTTTTTAAGGGAAATAAATTTATCTCTATGGTTAAAGGATGCAACACTACAGTTTTTAACATTTGCCTTTTTTTTCTTTTTTTTTTTTTTTTTAAATTGAAAGTAACTAAAATAATTTATAACAGTGTGCTAGCTGCCTAAAAATTATGTGATTTGCATTTGTGTAAAATAATCTTTGAGAATTCAAAACAACATAAGAACATATATTTATGCGAGTCTTTGCTTTTTTTTTTTCATGCTCATTATTTTATTACGCATATTATTAGAGCCAAAGTTTAATGTGACATGATACAGGAAACATTTGGTTCAGTCAATAAAACATCATCTTAGAATAGTAATGTAACAGATCACTAAAAAAGCCTAACTGAAATTTTACTTTATCACAAAGTTTAATGAATAGCTGAGTTGTCCTGAAACATTATTTAAAAATGAAAAAAAAAAAACAAGTATTTGAGAGATTTTAACATTAATACTTCAGAACCGGGGCTCACAATCTTTCTTGGACCTGAAGCTGTGTCCATAAGACGGCTGGCCATGAGTTTTCAACCCAGTCAAAGTTCAAATATATTTATATATAAGTCAATATATATATTTAAATTATGTGTAATCAAATGTAATGGTGGGGTGGATAGATTAGGTTGGCAGCCGTAGGATGCAATTTCATAGAAAGTGTCAAAACCATGACTTAAAGCTTTCTGTAGAATTGGTTGCAGGTAACATATAAAATAATTTATATATATAATAAAGACATTATAACCTTTTTTTAAGTATAAAAACAGAATATGGCAGTCTGATATTACAAGATGATATATTACATGAGTATATTAACAATATATCATGATTGATAACTTTGAGACAGATAACTACTAGCTGTATATGTTTATACTGTAACCTTTACAACATCAATATTATATTTATTTGGATGGGGTCTCCCTGGAGGAATGCTCCCTCCCTGATCAACAGAAACATATTTTAAAACTGTATATTTTGAAATCACTGCTTCAAAAGGACTGTTGCAATGAGTCATGTGACCAAATTTCCATCCACTACCAGCATCATTTGGGTGTGGCCAGGTACAAGTAAAGATGTCCAGATGATTTAGAATCTTGCTGCATTTGTGGAGGTGCCAGTCACAGTGATATCTCCTTTTCTGTACTGTGGGATTGAGGGAAGGGCTTTGGCTGTCTTTCTCTCCTGCTGTGGTGGTGTGCTGACACTTGAGATATCAGACTGGTTGTTCACAGGAACCACTGCTGAGCTTTGAGAGTAAACTGTGGGTAAGAAAAATACAAAGACTGAGCTTGAAAAATGAAGGTGATTAACTGACTATTAGAAAAACTAGTATAGTTATCTATACATTAGCTTGATGCCTTTTCATTAAAATTCAAATTAAACAATTAGATGAATATATATTATTATGCTGCAGGTATTCTCCGTATTAGAATATACAAAATTTAATGAACATTTCATGAACCCAGTGTAATATATCTCTATTCTCCTGAAATGTGCTAAAGTATTTAGCCCTACATGTCTCACATTGATAAAAAAACAACTTTGCAGCCTCAATGAGGTAAGATTATTCAGACTTACATCGTTTGTTCTTCTGAGGATGACTGTTGTTGTGCCTGTAGATGTCTGACATGACTGTGTTTGGTGTGTTGGACCTTAAGGTGGATGTGTCATCACCAAATGCTGGATGAAATTATGGGTAAAAAAGAATATGGAAGTAAATACTCTAGAAGTAGATAAATTAATAAAAATGAAATTGACCAAAAAATAACAAATACACTAAAAACACATGAAGCTAGAAAACAATATTACAAGAATATTTCCAATTTTTTTAATTGAACTAACGTTTTCCTGCTCCATGGCGTAAGTTGCTATTGGTTGAAATTTTCCTTCTTTGCCTGGTTCTGTTTTTTTGTTCTGATATTTTTCTAGCTTGAGTACGAGATTTCTGAAAGGAAAAGACAAAAATTGTTTGCTGGTGTCTAATTTTCAATGTCACTGCTGGACGGCAGAGGATGTAGATGCTACATTCTCAAGAACCTGCTGAGACAGTTGACCTACACCCTAGTTAGAATATGCCACATCTTCTTAGAGGAAAGGCACTCCAAGACATCTAAACTTTGCATAAATTTCATGTGATACTATTTACAAAATTAAACTTGCCCCCCTTTTCACCTAGTGGCGATGCGCAGTGGCCCTTTAAAAAAGATTGTGGGTAGCCTTCATCACCAGTTTGATAACGGTTGGCTGCATTCGAACCTCCTTCATCATCCTTATGATAGTCCAGTCGACATTTAGGCATGCTCTTTGCCCTGATAACATGGTGATGATTTAGTATATCTTCCTCAATGGGTATTTGACTACATAAAGGGTGTCAGCAGAGTCTGCAGATTGTGCTAGGTAATTAATGTGTAAGTCCAGTAAAGTTAGGGAGTGAAAGAAGTGAGGTGATAAAATCTCATTAAAATTTTTGCAGAGGGTTGTTGAGGAATGATTTTAGTTTTTTTAAGTGTCATGAGTGCAAGAGAAAGATTATAACCCATTCCTAGTCTTGGGCGCAATTTATGGGGTCTTTGGGATCTGCACTGGGCAACTTAATTAATATTTCTTTACTTGATGAAGACAAAAAACAATCAGCAATATTTGCCTCTGAAAATCTGCAAAAAGTTACATAAAATGTGCTTAAACCAACAACACAAAATTTATTTTAAAAGTTCACTTACTTCAAGATAACTGTAGTTATTATTATTATTTCCACTGTAACGAACGGCTCGCCTACGAGCTTCTTCCTGCTCCTGTATCCGTTTGCTACCAATGTGTCCAATAACTCGAACAGGCGGTAAGTTTGGATCTGTGATGCTGCTAATTCTCTCCAGCGCTTCATCTCCTACCCCCATGGAATAGACTCCTTCCCCCATACTGCGATTGTGCAAGGCCAAACGACTCGGTGTCAATTTGGTCCCAAAATCATCGAAATCATCGTCATCAAGCTCGGCTTTCGGCCGGTACAGAGGCCTCGCCCCGAACTTGTCAGTTGCCCCGCTGGCGATGCTGGCTTGGTTTCTTTTCTTGGCAGCAAGGGCGGCAATGCTACGTGTGTTGGCATTGATCACATTGCGATCTTCGTATGAGATGCGTGAAGGAGCTATTGGGGTGGGGATATGCTCAACAAGTTCAAGATCCGTTTGATAGAGAGGCTTCTCTGTTTGTTGAAAGGATTTGGTTTTAGCACTCTGCGTGAAAACCTTGCTGCTGTCATCATCTACATCACTAGAAATGGATGAAATTATTTTTTTTTAAATGATATAACCACACATCTTACATCTGACATTATTAACAGCAGAATTGACATGGCACTTACATCTGACATTATTAACAGCAGAATTGACAAGGTATTTACATCTGACATTATTAACAGCAGAATTGACAAGGTATTTACATCTGACATTATTAACAGCAGAATTGACAAGGTATTTACATCTGACATTATTAACAGTAGAATTGACATGGCACTTACATCTGACATTATTAACAGCAGAATTGACATGGCACTTACATCTGACATTATTAACAGCAGAATTGATATGGCACTTACATCTGACATTATCAACACCAGAATTGACATGGTACTTACATCTGACATTATTAACAGCAGAATTTACAAACTTAAGATTTGTTTAGTTTCATGTTATTAGACAATACAAAAATAGTTGTAGAGTATTTTGTATTAAAGCAATCTTAATTTTTTTTTTTTGCTGCGCCAATTACCCTGTGAATCTAATTAAATGTAGAAGAAAGAGCATATATCTAGTATAAAGAAAGAACATACTCTCCCATCTTAGGTGTGGATGGCAGATTGAGATTGCTCAGAGAGGCGACCTGTTGAAAAACAGAATAATGTAAAAATTAAGTAAACAAATGAACAAACCTAATAGCCAACGGATTCGAGGTTTGTTTAACAGTGTAGGCTGTTTAAAACAAAATTGTATCATAATTTTTTTTATTAGTAAGAAAAATGTTGGGGCAAGGAGGTATAAGGGCAGCCTATATACAATGTATTTGTGACCCTGACCTTATCAATGGATGAGAATGAACTGATGTCATCTCCCTTGAGAAGGCGGTGATTTTGCTCTTCTGTGTACAGCTCATACAGCTGTGCCAGCTCAGGGGGACATGACAACTTGTGCTCTGGGGAAGTTGTACCACATGTTTAATGTAGATTTTGTTCTAAAATGCCAGTAAATTTGATATCTGTTTATAGTTTGAACATTGAATTTTTGGGCCAGCAAGTCTTTCTGATTTCTAGTTCCACTGAATCAAAGCAAAATTCTAAAAAAATCAACGACTAACCTTCTATAATTCGTTTCTGACGCTTGATGATATCATCAGATAAGTTTCTGTAGTGGTGAAGCTTGGTAATGACCATGTCTTTGTGGCGAATCTGGAAGTCTCTGAGCAGTCCAGCTGACTGACCTTCAAGGGATTCTATCTCCAGCTGGTGCACACGACACAACAGTTTGAGGATCTCTTGCTGGTCAGCACTGCTAATCCTTACAGGAATCATCTGTGGTCCAATATCAAAATATATAATCTCTGACATTGAGACAAGTATAAAATATCTAAACACAGGACGATATCTCAAAATCAGCAAGTATTGGCTCAAAGTCAGCAAGTGTTGGCTCAAAGTCAGCTAGCATTGGCTCAAAGTCAGCAAGTATTGGCTCAAAGCAGCCTATATACGATGTATTTGTGATCCTGACCTTATCAAAGGATGAGAATGAACTGATGTCAGTAAGTACCAGCTCAAAGTCAGCAAGTATTGGCTCAAAGTCAACAAGTAAATGCTTAAAGTCAGAAATTATTGGCTCAAAGTCAGCAAGTACCAGCTCAAAGTCAGCAAATACTGGATCAAAGTCAACAAGCACTGACTCAAAGTCAGCAAGTATTGGCTCAAAGTCAGTAAGTAATGGATGAACAAAAATAAATTGCATATAATTTGTATGGCAAAATATGATACGGCCAATGATTTGGAAATTATAATAAGGGTTCAAATTAGGAACAAATTACCGTATGTTCCAAGATTGGAAACATTCATTTTGGTCATGCAAAAACTTTTCATTTAGTAAAATTTTATTTGAAGTTCTTAAAATTCTTCATGTTACTTAATTCTCTGTAGAGACAGACCAAAAGTGATTTTCTGATTTCAGCTGAAACCGAAACTAGGCCGAAAGTTAAAAATGACTTTTGGCCAAACCCAAGACGAAACCAAAAGCTTAACAAGACTTTCAGCCGAAACTGAAATATTTAGATATTTTGAAATTTGTTCACTGGTAACTTAGTAGTAACTATACTGATTCCATTGCAAAGCTATAGGAAAAATTTGATCGCATTTTTTAGACTTCAAAATACACACAGCCACTTTTCAGCTTTTTGCTGACCCTTTCTCCTTTAATATGGAAGATGCCCCATACTGAAGGACGATTAATGCGGTTGATATTCATGTTTCAAGATTTTCATTCCTAGGTGTAAAAACAATTGGGTAAGTGTTCAGTAATTACCATGTGTACCAATCCAATGCAGGCCACTTCAAATTTAAAATCCTTTCGTTTCAAATTTTTGTATACGGTAATTATTGCAGATCTAAGTTTAGGCAGAGTAAATGTTTTAAGTTTATATAATATAGTTTGTTTAAATAGTTTTTGCGTTTATTGTTTCTAGAAATACGAATAAACAATAATCATTGTGGTCCTGCCTCATACAATTCTTTGATCTACCGGTAAACTGAAAATGGTAATGAAGCCTTGTTTACATCCGAAGGGTGATGAAACATTGGACAAATTTCATTTATGATAAAGAAAAGGAAAAAACCTGTGTCGTATATATGGGTGCATCTTATATTCAGGTGCGTCTAATATTCACGAAAATACGGTAGTTATATACATGTCTAATTATGTATTGAAATCTATGGTGTACAAACCTCTTCTAATTTTTGTGTTTTGAGCCTGGCAGCCTCTAGTTCTCTTTGAATGGTTGCTTTGACTCTCTCTGTCTTGTGTTTCTCTTCATGCAAGACTTTTAGTTCATCTCTGGCTACCTGAACTTCAACTGGTTCAACTCCAGGATCACCCATTGGTAATTCGTTTTCTTTATCTTCTTCTAGTAAGAAAAATATTAAAATTCTGCAAGTTAGAGATGAGTTTCAGATGCTTATTTAACAATAAAATTGTATGACCATAACTTAAACATCAAACTGAGCAGCCGGTCATATCATCTTCAATGGTGCCATTGTTGTGTGATGTTCAAAGCCCTGATGTCTTAGATGTGAAATGATGCCAATGTATTGGCAGAAGAAAATGTATTCAGAATAGGATTTCTATGCCAAGTGTGACAACTGACAGTGTTTTATAACTGACAGTGTTTTATAACTAACAGTATTTTATAACTGACAGTGTTTTATAACTGATTGTGCTGGTTTACCTGCCAGTAATTTAGTTGACAGAATGTCAGTATACCTGGCACTGGATCAGCTGACAATGTTTTTATAGTTAATATTATCACAAACTGACCTACCTAAGAACTTGTTATCTGTAAGGTTTGTGATTTCTCTGTTTCTAAGCTGACGGGCTCGCTCCACCTGGTATCTATTTTTTTGTAAAATAAATTTTTTTTTTAATAAAGTTCTTCTTTAATGGTAGTATTTAAAGTTCTTCTTTAATGGTAGTATTTAAAAATCTTCTTTAATGGTAGTATTTAAATTTCTTCTTTAACGATAGTATTTAAAGTTCTTCTTTAACGTTAGCGTTTAAAGTTCTTCTTTAATGGTAGTATTTAAAGTTCTTCTTAAATGGTAGTATTTAAAGTTCTTCTTTAATGGTAGCATTTAAAGTTCTTCTTTAATGGTAGTATTTAAAGTTCTTCTTAATTGGTAGTATTTAAATTTCTTCTTTAACGGTAGTATTTAAAGTTCTTCTTTAATGGTAGCATTTAAAGTTCTTCTTTAATGGTAGTATTTAAAGTTCTTCTTAATTGGTAGTATTTAAATTTCTTCTTTAACGGTAGTATTTAAAGTTCTTCTTTAACGGGGGCATTTAAAGTTCTTCTTTAACAGTTGCATTTAAAGTTCTTCTTTAATTGTAGTATTTAAAGTTCTTCTTTAATGGTAGTATTTAAAGTTCTTCTTTAATGGTAGTATTTAAAGTTCTTCTTTAATGGTAGTATATAAAGTAATTCTTTAACGGTAGTATTTAAACAAAAATTCCATAAAAACTTTAATAATAAATATAGATTTTTTTTAAAAATATTATTTATATATGACCAGATGTACTCACTCACTGATAACCAATTGGTTTCTGTTTGTTTCAAGACTTATCTCCATTGATGCATTGTTCAGCTCCATGCGTGTTCGCCTAGTTTAAATATTTTAAATAAAATGCATTTTAAAACACTGCAAACAAGGAACAGTTTATCGTAATGTTTAATATAACTTATAATCCTATTTAATTTTTATTCGCAATGGATTATTTGTTCCATAAGATTTTCTTTGTTAAATATATCTGCCTTGTAGACTTTGAAAAGACAGCGTGTTATTTTAGCTCCATACAGAGTTCCATTTAGACAACCTAAGCTCTATTTACCAACCTAAGTTCCATCTAGACAACCTAAGCTCTATTTACCAACCTAAGTTCCATCTGATCTTTAAAACTGGTCAGCAGCTGCTCCTTGAAGTGAGTCAACTCAGACTTATCTGACTTTCTCTGGGACTCTACAACCTCAGCTGTACACAGATGTATACAAGATGAAATACCTCAAAAAAATTTTCTTTGTATTGGTCATAAATTCCTTGTAAGTTAAATAATGACTTTTTAAAAACTGCTCTTTAAATAATATTACTTTACAATTGATAGCAGAATGCAAACAATTCATTAAGTGTGAAGGTCGGTATTCATTTTTTTGAATTCATTTATATTTAATGTATTCCTTGTTTCATGATGAATTCTTATTGTATGTTTTGTGTAACAAGATCATATGTCAGGGGACTTAATTACGCTATGAACATGAGCTTTGCATCCCTTTAAATGAGTTTTCTAAAAGAAACAGATAAATAATTGATTCTATTTTTATGCTTGACAAAACTTTGGGAGACTTACACTGCACAGCTTGGATGTTAGCAACTGAATGTTTTTGCTGTGTCTGCTCAGTCAGTTTTGTCCTGAGGCGCATGATCTCATCTCTCAGTTCTGAGATGATATTTGAGTACTGCGCTATGTGGTAGGCCACGTCTGTGACATTTCTCCGAACCTTTAATGGAAGAAGTCAGGGAGTTATATGATTTCATTATTTTATTTATTTCAATTCTTTTAATTCATCACTTGTCAACAAGTTTAAGCAAAGCAAACTTCACAGAACAATTTTGAAAGATTAAATCACTGCTTTCCAGAATATCCATGTTGGCAACACATTCTGTAGACGCACATCATTTCACCACACAGTGAGTCAGTTTGACCAGTATATCAGGGGTTCAACTGACCTATTTTAAGTTATAGGCCATAAGATGTAATAATGTATGATGACAAAACCTGAATGAATACCTATCATTTATATTTTGGATGCAATTTTGAACCTAAAGCTAAACCAGTTTCTTCATACATCATTTAATAGATTCCACTCGTTTGTTATGTCACCTAATTCTTCTTCTTCAGTAAGTTCAAAGTTCGTCACAGATGAAAGAATTGGATTCCTCATCCAATCATAGTCTTGAATTTTAGCTTGTGTAAAGTAATCATGAGCTTTGTCTTGGAGCAATGTCAAATGGATTGGTCCACACTTTGCTAGCACTGCACTTGGCTGCTTTGGAATAGTTTTAAAAATTTTCTTCATTCACTTTCAGACTTTCTGTCTCCCAATCCCATAGCTAAAATTTGATGTACCGATGTTAAGATGTTTTCTCATCTTTGTTGCATGATGGTGTTTATTTTAATTTGAATGTTCAAAGACAAGTCAAATTTTTTTTTATGAGTTGGATCACAAAATACATTTTGCTTATTTTCTTCTAAAAACTTCCCTCGGTTTGTTTACACAGCAATTACAATACCTCATCAGAGCTAGTAAACTTTTGTGTGTAGAATAGCCGTGTTGAGGAAAAGCAGCACCTGGGGTAAAGTCTGAAAAAGGCTCCCATCAATATATAACATAAGGCAATAGTACAAGGGCCTTTTTTGCCCCCCGTCTTTGTGGAGCACATGGGATTTTTATCGTTTAATTAACTGTTAAGTTCATATCTTATGTTGATTTTGGCACCCTCTGGCATTGGAACCCATGGGTAAGGGCCCCCTTCCCATGGGCCTGATGTGTGGTATCAGCTTTTTAAACTTTGACCAAATATAGCAAAATAATCTAAATTGAAGAGGTCTGCTTTTAAATATAATCTACCATTTAGATTGGGTAGATGACAATAGGTTACCTTTGTTTTGATGTGCTTTGCCCTGTCAGCATAAACAAGTGTGTTACGAGACTCCTCAAATTGTGTACTAGCAGGACTAATATGTGCAATCATGACAGTTCTACAATTTCCACCCAGAGCATCTTTCAGTAAACGAGTCAGCTTACTATCTCTGTAGTTTATATACTTGGGACCATTTTTGTCACCTATAAAAATAGTAGCTCTCATATTATTGATTCAAAACAGTATAAGGTAATAATAAACTACATCTAAGTTATTTTTTTTTTTTTTTTTTTTTTAAATTTAAAAACAATGTTAAACTTTAGATACAGATTTTTTTGCCCTAAACACTGCTGAATTGTTGGTAATTTTTTATTCAAATAATATTGCATATTAGAGGAGTGATTATTCTAGTATTAGGTTTTGTTACATGGATGTTTAGTTACTAATAAATTGGGTTAGAGCCTCCGATAGAAATAAATGAACAAAAAGAAATCATATTTAACTAAAAGAAAAATTAATCAAGAATTCAAATCTTTAGTATGTTTCAATAAATATCCACATAACAAATGTCAAAACAGCCATCATTCATTGTTTTATTTCTTAACCTGAACTTGCTTATTGAAAAACTTGAGGAAACACTACAAAAATTATTATGCAATTGGTTTTATCCGGAAAGATCAGTGAAATGACTCACTCAGTGCATTGATACAGTTGCCAAGTGCCAGCAGTGAACGATTGATGTGGGCCCCTTCGACCATCCTCTTGCCTCTGTTGTGGGTGTTTGCAGCTCTCTCTGACCCAGCCAGGTCAACTAAGAAGAGACGGCCTGTGCGGACCTCTTGCATGACGTTGCGTACTTTATTCCTCTGCCTGACTGTCACTTGCAAGATGGCGTGTGACCTTGAAGAAGTGGCATTAGCAGCTGTTGGCTCTTGTGTACGCTCCAAGTTGCCTTTAACAAGCATTGCCATAACCTGAAAGTGTTTTTAGATAAATTATGGTTGCTATATCACTTGTTTTGCTGGCATTTTTTGCTTTAATTGTTAATATACCAAAATATGAGGGATATAAGTCAGGGAAATCAGGATAGCACCAGAGCATAATCTCTTGTCTTTCATTAAGATCATTTGTGTTGACCTCATTTTTGTTCACAACAAACCATGAAATTCAACCTTACCCCCCCCCTCCTCTTTTTTTGTTTTGATATTGACATCACCTATTAAATGTGTAACGCTCTACAACACTCTCCCCTCCCTCGATTAGAAAATGGTTTTTTTTTTCCCTCTCTTGTTTCTCCCCGCACCCCCTTTTCCCTCTCTTGTTTCTCCCCCCCCCTCTTTTTTTGTTTTGATATTGACATCACCTATTAAATGTGTAACGCTCTACAACACTCTCCCCTCCCTCGATTAGAAAATGGTTTTTTTATGTTGTAATTTGTTCTTAAGAATGCTATAGTGTGATGCAATTTCTAGAATATCTTTTCTTGTGGGTTCCAGCTCCCTCCTTATAAATAAGTCAGCAGCTTTCCCAGCAGGGAGAGATTTTAGCTATATTTTCTAGACATTTACAAGATGCTGTATACTTTTAGGGGCCTTAAAAGATTGTACTCTACATGTATGTGTGTATTTTAATATTTGTATTTGTTTAAGATTATACTTTTTTCACTTGCTGTAAGTTAATATTATTTTTATTTCTGTATGTTTGATTTTGTATTTTTGATGTAAATTTAATGGTGTAATTAAATTGACTATTGTAAATATCACTAGCTTTGATATCATTTTTCTTTGTGTATTGGTTGTCAGCCCTTTGCTACTTATTGTTCAACAAATGAGCCAAATCTTAAAACAGATTCATTTTGGAAAACCATATAATGATACGTACAAAGAATGTTTATTATTTGTTACATGAAATCTGATTATTTATTTAATTGAACTTTATCACCTCTTCAGTTGACCTTGCTGTAACCTCAGATATCCCAGCTACTTGAACATTTCCCTTGGCATCTTCACGCAGTTCGAGAAAACCAGAATCTGGATTTAGGAGGTCACGAATCATTTCGTTGTAGATCTGAAACAGATTTTATTAAAACATAAATTTCTTAATAGCATTTTCTAGTATAAGCTATATTAATAAGATCACTCATTATTTTATACTTGGTAAATAGTTATGCCAACTAGGCAAAAAGATTGATGGTCTGAAGATACAAAAATGTCTACCTTATGGTAACATTTTAAAATCAAAGACATATATTAAAATGTTTAATAATAAATATATTAATAAGAAGAGAAATTAATTAGAGAGAAATTTACTGAGAGCTGACAATAAAACAGGAATAATGTAGAATTTATTGATAAATGCATTTTTCTCTGTCACCTCTAAGTAAGACATGGTCACTTTAAATGCCTTGTCTGTATTTTGTCTCATTTCAAGAAACAAATCATTCAGAGCTTGAACCATAATTCCTGGCTCCCCATCTTTGCCTAACATTGTGTAGGTTTTGCCAGCACCTTGAAAAATTCAAATATAATTAGTTAAAGCATTTAAATTTATCTTAAATTCTAGTGTAGAGGACACACATGGCTCCTCATTTAACAATTCGTTTAGGTTTCTAACTTATTGTGAATCAAGAGATTGATCTACTTGATGTATATTTTTATAGGTTTACTTATAAGACAAAATTTTTAAAAACATAATCCATCCCCTCTCATGAGTTTCTAACCTGTTGGACCATAAGCAAACACAGTTGCATTGTATCCACTTGTGACATTTGGAATCAAAAATTTTGTTGTTTCTTCATAAACATCTTTCTGGAAAGTATAGAAAGTTAAGTTAGAATCTACCCTCACCATCTTTCTGAAAAATGAGATTGCATTGTTTTGTCCACATGTAACATATTATAAGTAACATTATTTAAATTATGTTTCTTTATAATAATTTTTTTTTCCGCAAAGACCTATATCGTCCATATAATTTGACCTTAATAAATTTTAAATCATTTAATTACTGAAATTTTGAATTCATTTTCATTTCAAATAATTTGCTAATGAATTCATATTTGGCTGATCTTGAATGTGGAAGAAAAGAGGATCTTTTTAGTGAATTTCTTCCATTATACATTATATTGTTAATATGTGTAAATTTGTTAAATAAATGCTCACCTGGCTGCAGCTGCCATCAAATATACAGTCAAAAACATACTGTTTTTCTCTTGATCTGTTAGCCCTAAGTACGTCATCTGGATCATCCGCTGGGTCTAGCAACACAACCATCTGTCAAATAAATCAACATTCTCTGAATTTCATCCTGTTCAGATCGCTATTTGTAACAGTTCTGGGTTTATCCATATATCTAAGTTTAAATTTAAAACAAATTTTAAAATGTTATAGAAGATGTAAACTTAAATATCCCTTTTTTTTTTCTTTTTACATTTTAGCAAAAAACATTCACTTTTATACTGTATTATTTTCATGCTATTGAGTTGTTTAGATTGCTTATTGAATTAATCCTTACATTATTTTCCACCTTGTAGGCTGCAGGATTAGCTCCTTGTATAATCTCATCCTCTGCCATAGGCCGAATCCTCAATGCCACCTAAAAGAAATTATTTAGAATGTAATTAATAAAATAATTGTTTTTTTTTTTTTAAATCACATTTAGAATTAAAAGCTTTTTATTGATAAAAAGGTTACATCATAGGTATGGGCTTGTAATAGAATATATGAAACATTATAAATTCATAAAGATAGCTTCGATATTATCAGAAAATCAGAAGTAAATAAAACATGTTGTAGGGTTTTATGTCATGTCTTGCAACAGAAAGCATTTTAAAATCAATAAGATTGGAAAACAATATGTTATACAGTTTTTAACACTATGAAATCAATACTGGTATCAATATTATTTTCAATTGTATAAAATTAAGTTGAGTAAATTGGGATTTAAACTTGTTGACATGATATCTACTTTTCAAAAATGTGCATCACTGTGAAATTGAATTTTTTTAATTGACTTTTTGTTTGAGGGTCTATGATTTTATAAAACATGTCATCCTGATATATAATATAAATATTTATATTATATGTGTGTTTATTTATATTATATGTGTGTTTGTGTGTATATATATATATATATATATATGTGTTTTTTAAAAACTTACCACTAAATTCTTCTCTCCACCCCCCACTTTAGATTGTGACTTGAGGTCTGTCATTTTGTTAGTTTGCTTGATTGTTGTGTCCTTGCTGACATTGATGAATTTTTACATTTTCCTGTTGGTTATTAAGTAACTGTAAAATGATAAAAGTGAAACAACAGAATTAAAATAGATCCATAAACAATCAAAAGTAGATAAGAATTCAGCTAATTAGCATTTAACATGTAAATGTAATCGAAAAAATATACACTATACTATACTTAACCGCTATAAATAAACTTAGCTTTGATAAATATCAATATGAATATGAAATTGAAAGTAAAGAATTTCGTTTGGAGGCTCAGGTCAGTTGAAAGAAAATAACTAATAATAGCTTTGAATTGCTTGATTTTTTTATATCACATTGTTAGATATCTTTATAATCTATATAATATAATATGATCTAAATAACTCTTTGCTAAAGTGATTAGTGGCTAAACCATCTCCACTGTGTTAGAGATGATGGTGTATTAGTATTATTATTATGTAAGAGTGTATATTACATGTAGAAATTAGGAATGTCATGTACATCAAGTAGCCTGCATAATGCATTTAAATTATAATAAATATATGTTCAAGTAATTGTGCTTAGAACTTTAAGAGTTAACACTTAACACTCACATAAATTATTCATTCATTGGTATATTCTAATTCTAATGTTGGTAATTAAATGAATTATTCAATAATAGGCCTTTTTTATTTCCAAAATATATGTTATTAAAATGTGCCTTTAATTTTTTTACATTACAATCAAAGTGAATCATCAATTAGGCCTAACTACTACTACTTGTAGTCGCATTATCATTATTATCATCTCAATTATTACATTTTTAAATTTTATTTATTAATCTTCGGAAGAAAACATACCCAGCCTTTGACTATATAGCTTATAAATTAAATAAATAATATCAATGCATTAAGAAAATTAATAAATTGTAAGTACTAGACTTGTTTATGTCCCGAAATCTTGTAAAACTACATCCTTTTTATGTCAGAAATGGTCCACACAAAACTGCTTTTCTTTTTAAGTACATACCCATGGCCGCCATGATGGCATAGTATGTCGCCAAGCGATTTACATTGCATTATGGGACAGGACTGCCCGCACTCTTAGCTAGTACAGACACTTTCGAACCTTATCATGCATTGATCGGCCTCAATTCATGAGCGAAAAATCGATAAGAATTATTTTGCACATAGCTGCTATTCAATTTATTGATTTCCTATGAAAGGTGGAGTGCGATCATTGAGTATAAGGCAATGTGACCACTATCTACAATATGAAAGAAAAAACGGGTAGAGCCTAATGAAATTGAAGGAAGGCCCTGGGCTATTCATGGACGTTTACCAATGAATAGGCCTACCGTGCGCCTTTTGTAGTTGCCTACTTGTATTGACAAGCTGTTGAAACTGGAAGTGATAGACCTAATAACATAGATTAACATCTTTTTCACAATAAATTCAAATAGAATTGACTTCAGCTCATAATAAGCACGCGGGGACCATTTTTTAAAAATAATTTTACTTGTGCCGTTTCAAAATAATAAAGTGATTTTTAATATATAAAAAATCCAAACCAGCCACTCTTTGAGTTTGAATAGGTTAGCCTACTATTTCTCAATAAGTTAAGCGCGCAAAATAAAATTCCCGATCCGATAACTGCGCTAAAAGTGATTCTTAAAAATGTCGCAGATGCGTAATATTTTCCTTTGTTTTACGAGTCTCAATTTCAATTTTCTTGTAAACTGTACCTGTAAGAAATCTGACGATTAAAAGGGTTGGGACATTAGAATATCCATGTACTAGCCAATATTCCCGGAATTGCAGTTTCATTCGGAAAAACAACAACTTCTACAGCCTTTAATATTGAAATTAAGCACCATGTAAAAAAAAAAATAAATAAATAAAAATACATTAAAAAAAAATTACTTGTCTCCTATAAAAACACTATAAAATAACTTTTGTAAACCTTTCATTCCCTGATGGCATCCCGATCACGGAGGGCTCCCAATCGGATCCCGTTTCCTGGTGGGATCCCGTTTTAAAATTATGGTATTTCGGTATCATGAGGGATTCTGACCCCGTTTGAATCCCGATCCCGGTTGGATCCCGATACTGGTGGGATCCCAATACCGGTGGGTTCCAGATCCCGTCGGTATTCCAATCCTGGTGGGTCCCCGATCTAGTTGGACTCCTAATCCCGGTTGAATCACGATCCCGTTAGATTACGATCCCAATGGGATCGAGATCTTTCTGGGTTCCTGATCCCTTTTCCTGATGTGATCCCGGTTGAATCATTAATCCCGGTGTGTTCCCGGTGGATCCCGATACTGGCGGGATCTCGATCCCGGTGGAATCCCAATACCGATGGGATTCCGATACCGGTGGAATCAAGATACCGGTGGGATCCCGATCCCGGTGAAATCACAATCCCGGTTAGACGTTATGCCGTTTCCTGTTGGGATCCCGATGGTTTCCCGATCCTGGTGGGTTTCTGGTGGATACAGTTTCCCGGTTTTATCCCGATCCCAGGTGGATCATAGTCCCAGAGTGGTCCCGTTTCCTGGTGGGATCCTGATGGTTTCCCGATTCCGGTGGTTTCCCGATTATTGTGGTTTCCCGTTTCCCGGTGGGATCCCTTCTCTGTGTGATCTTGTTTCCCGGTGGGATCCTCTTCTCCGATGGAATCCCGTTTTCCGTTAGGATCCCTATTTGATCCCTTTACTCGAACGGATTGCATTACCGGTGGGCAGCGGCTTAAGGCATGGGCGCAGTGGGCACTGGCCCAGGGCCCTAAGCTTGCAGGGGCCTCACATCTCTAGGAGACTTACTTTTACAGTGGCATCATGCTTTACATATTTTTAATGAATAATGAATGATTTTGACAATTTATTTGGATTTAAATTTCCCAATTTTAACCCAAGATATATATCAGCACATTCCAAAATTAATATTATAAATGTGAATCAAAGTTGGACAATTTTAAAACTTTTAAAGGGGAATAACTCTAGTAAATAAGTTTTACCTTTCCCAGCTATGACTCACAAAGTCGAACAACTGATGAAGAAATGGAACAATTAAATGTCCAATATGCTTGCAAAACATTGTCTGAATTGTGGATGCAAGTAACAATTGTCCATTTTTCAACAGTGTTGCAACTGAATTATCTGAACTTGTGGCGGAAAATTTCCTAACTAAACTAAAGATCAAGATTGGTTTACTAATCATGTAGCCGATTCGAAGCTCCTTTTTTGAAATTGTGTTCAATAGATTCCTTTCCCCGCCAATTCCAGTCTTTCAAACTAGTGAAGACCCTAAGGCACCAGATGCTTCTGAGAGTGACTTGAACAGATTTCTATCTTTTTTCTTCACTCCGTCTGTCAAATTTGATATGTTACATAGATTCACAAAGGCATTCAAAATTCTTCCTTTTGATCTTTATTGTCCCTCAGTCCAGTCATCACTGCTTGAACGGATTTGCAAAATCTGTAACATCTATTTTGCATCAAAAGTCATGTTAAAAAAGCCTATTCAACAGCACCGACAATGCACTATTGGGCATAGGAAGTTACCACCTGCTCCTCAACAAAAAAAAAGGATTCGACCAATGCATGGGTCGACTACCATTATAATCAGTCCGGGTTTTATTGTATTTATTTTTTTGGCTTTCGTAGAATTTATTTTATTACAGTTGCTAGCCATGCGCACAACCGTCTTGGGGGGGGGGGCCCCATACAGTTCTAGGCAGCTGCCTTAATTTTCAGGTAAGATTTCCTAGCCCTAGTGGATCCCTCCACATCCTACAAGTCATTAGATTCTGATTTTGGTCCTCCCCGGTTATTTTATTTCCCCAATACCCGCCATGTATCATGTGGGCTTTCCCCTATCCGCCACCTGGGGAGGCGCCCGAGGGAAGATCAGCATCTCAGCACGACGTTCTCAAAGAATAAATAGTTGAGGTCATCCCCGGGATATCAGACCACTGCGTACCATATTGTGAAGTTCAGGTCAACACCCTGAAAAATAAGCAGGTGATACGAGTCCTTCCAATTGATGCCAAGGCAGACCGACCGGGATATCCTGAGAAGTGCAATGACAGATCTGAGCTATAACATGCCGAAGATTCAGGGTACATCGACAGCGGAAGAGCTGTGTGTGAAGTTTAAGACAATTACTGATGCAGTGAAGAAGTACATATCACAAAAGACCATCAAACCTAAGACACATCAGCCATGGATCATGGCTGAAATCCGTAGACTCATCCACAGGATAAACTGCCAGTACAAGCGATTGAAGAAGAATGGCTCGGTTGAACTGAAAACCGAGGTACTGCGCAGATCTTACTGGAACTGCCTGAACGGCCTCTTCTCAGAGGAAGATAATCTGAACAAAGGTGTCAAGAACAAGTGCTTCTAGAGCTACGTTAAACACCAAAAGTCTTCAAACACTCGAGTTGCCCCTCTGAGGTGGGGTGGCCATTTAACATCTGACCCAAAAGCACAGGTGGACATACTAAATCAGCAGCTCCAGTCGGTCTTTGGTGACGGTAGAGAGTACTCTGATGCTGAGTTCCTTCTGAAGACCAACATGATGAACAGAGCTCTTACTCCGTCATGGAAGACGATATTTTGCGGCCAGCTACCTGACAGCAAAGTATAGTGTTAATGCGGCCCACACGTTTTCCCCTTTCTCATATTTATAATGTGTCGTCGTCGTCCCCCCCCCTTTCATGGAGGTGAATGGAAAAACAGACAAGCATGGACAATTTAAGAGAGCATTGCCCTCCACCTTCACTGAGATTTCCAGGTTGTTCAAGCGGATTATATGACTTTTTGGGAGTACCTATCAGTGTTAAAAGCTCTTTTCCATTATGAACTTTAACAAGTCAAAATTCAGGGCCAAACTTACTGATGAGCATCTTTAAGCTATACTGAGTGTCTCGGTTGCTTCCTCACTCAAGCCAAAGTTGCTCAGCTGTGTCAGAAGAAGCGCTGCCATGTCTCTGAAAACAATGAGTAGGAGGAAGAAAGTGAAGCCTAGTTGTTGAGAACCTTAACGTTTTTATTTTTTATTTATAAAGGTTGAGCAGATTGTAACACTTTTACTTTAATGAATTTGTAATCGCATTTTTGTGGAATGCTTGTTACGGCCCTGCGTACACCCACAAAAATATCTGTTTAAATTAGAGAGTCAAACAGCCAGCAGGGGTAGCAAAAAAAAAAAGGAGAAAACCCATGAAATAATTTCTAACGCTTTTATATGGTAGCTTTGTTTCGTTTTCTTGTACATCATATCTGTCTAAACATACATTGAAATAGGTGTGGTTGTTTTTAAAGGGGGCCAGGGAGGAGAGAGCTTTGGGTGAGAAGCCCATTTCTTTGTATGCCTTCGCATGTACAGCAGTGGGAGGTGACTATGAAAATATTACATTTTCCGGACCTGGAAGGGCGTAGCTGGAGCTAGTGCCATCAGGGGGGGGGGGGGGGGGGCCAAAAACTGCAACACCACCTTCCACTAAAATAAACCACACTACTGTTTGTTTAAAAAAATCCTGCCCCTCCATGTAAATAAAAAAAGTATCACCCAGGGCAGACGGCCCCCCCTCCGTTCCCCTTCCTACACCACTTCGTACAGAACATATGGATGGCCCCTACTCTGATCTCAATTTTCTCAATTGTTGTTTGTATATTGTTTTATAATCAATATTTATATTGCAGTTAACAGCTCTAAGAAGTGTTCCTACTTTCCCTTCATTGATACAGCCTCTCCTAACCATTTTTAATATATGTAAGATTAAATACAGTAAAAACAAATGCATTTTTAGATTTCATATAATTTTATCAAGATGCATTAGCTTTGTGGATAAATCATAAAAAACATTCATGAAATTAAAATTTTAAGTTTTGAAAATTATGGTTAAACATGATAAGTTGTGTTGTAAAATCATCACACAACGCTTAAGACAAAGAAAATGACAAAATAAAATTCAAAATCACAGGGTATTTTTAATGCAATAATTAGTGTTAAATTGCATTTCATAAATCAACATGCTATTGTGAATTCATCATAAGAAAGGGTATTGGTCTGTTTACCAGTGTGCTTGAAAAACCACATTATAATAACATAAAAATGCACATAACATTGCAGTGAATTAAATGGGAGTATTTAAAATAAAATCATTCTACAGTATTATTTGTATAATTTAACTACTATCACAAGTTATTGGTGTGCTCAGAAGACCACATTACTATAATTGTGCATAAAATTAAAGTTCATCAAATATTTAGGATAAAATGATATTATTCTTTAGGGGCCATCCATAAAAGACGTTCACCAATTTTTTCCTATTTTTTTACCCCCCTCCCCCTTTGTCCACTTTT